CAAGGGGAAACAAGTATGAGTCAGTACTTGTATGACTGTATGAGGTCTACGAGCCAGCCGATAGACGTGGCATGTTTCTTTCTGCATTGAGGCTACCTGCTAGTGAACCTGGTGGCCCCCGTGGCTGATCTGACCTGCGACATCAAGAAGGAGGTGGCGAACGCCTTCTCGCCTATGTAGTCATCGGCCCCTTTGCAACAGGTGAAGACCGCAGCGCTGGAGTGCATGACCGCGATCTGCGGATGCACCGGCAACAAGGACACTTGTGCCATCACAGCAGTGCGTGTGCCTTCTTTCACGGGGTCCTTTGCTCTCGACACAGGACTTGGAGCCTTTCCTGCCAGCTGTGGTCGATGCTGCCTCCTCCATCGACAAGACCCATGCCTGCGTGGAGAAACTTGCCGGATGCCGCTTGGACTCGTACTCTTCCGGACTGCATCTGAGGGCCTCCGGTTGCGTCATCTTTCCGAGCCCAAGGCATTTTCGTGCAGAACGTGGAAGCCCCGGCTTTGGCGGCCGTGAGCCCAGAGTTGCGATGCGTTTTGCGAGCTTTTGCAAGCATAGCAGCAGCCGTGCATGCGAGCTTCGCGTCCTGCATCTCACCTCTTCACCGAAAAGTTCCGATCAGTAAGAAGCTTCTTCGGAACATGTCGCAGGTCACCATGCCCGTGCTGACGCGCGGCCTGAATGACAAGAACGAGGAGGCCGTGACTTCAAATGTGGGTGGAACGAACCTACTTCATCCGCACACATCCGCATGCAATTTTGTAACATGCCTGCAGGTGAAGCGCACGTGCTGCCTGATCGTGGACAACATGTGCAAGCTCGTCGAGGACCCTGCAGAGGCCCCTTGCGAAGCCTGCTAAATTTGGAATGAAGGGTGTGCGGCATGTAGCATGCTGTAGGTGCTGCCGCTGATGCCGAAGCTCGAGCCTCTGGTCAAGAGCGCTACGGAGAAGATCTCCGATCCTGAAGCACGAGGCATCGGAACGTACCCGTGGAGCATCATAGGCCCATCGAGTTGAGAAGCAGTGGCGTCTCAGGTATGGCTGAGAAGGCCTACAAGACCCTTCAGAAGGCTGCCGGAGAAGGTGGCCACTCAGGGACTACTCATGGTGTGCGGATGGGTTTCTTACACTCAATTACTTTTTGTGGTGTGCACAGCCGAGGTGCCGAGTCTCTTCAGCAGATGAAGCTCGAGGATGCCAAGAAGCAGGTGTCGGAGGCCCTCGGTGGCAGCGCAGGCTCCGGAGACGTCTTCGACGCCGAGCTGACGCATGTTTCCGCCCTGGCCGCATGCGCCGCCAACATGCGCGTCTTCGACGAGGCCCTCTGGAAGACCGACGTCGGCTACCTGGCGCCTTTCGACTCCATCACCGAGGCGCTGCGTGCCAAGATGGAGATCGCAGCCAAGCCGAAGGAAGAGGTCGAGGAGGAGGACACCGAGGGCGTGGACCTGTACAAGGGTGCTTTCTCCCTGGCCTACGGCACGCTGACCTTGCTGCGCGATGCGAAGATGCATCTCAAGCGCAACCGATTCTACGGCCTGCTTGGACCCAACCAGTGCGGCAAGACGACGCTCATGCGCGCCATTGCCAACGAGCAGCTGGAGGCACGGCGCGACAGTGTGCAGAAGTGTGAGTGCAGCAAACTCCTTTCATGCAGTGCAGCGCTCCTTAAGCTACTCGTACCACCTGACAGGGCTTCCCCAAGCGTGATGAGCTGAAGAGTGTCTTCGTTGAGCACGAGCGCCTCGGAGCGATTCCTGTTCTGTTGTTAAACTGTTAGCAAGGGCATGGTAGGCTTTCGACAGCTTTGCTCTACGAGGATCGAGGACGAAGAGGTGGGAGTCCAGGATGATGGCAGCGGGCCGAGCGTGCAGCATCGCGTTCTTGGAATCTCAATGCTCGTGGAGTCTTGCGTATCTTCATTGCACTAGGTTTTCCCATCCTCTCTGTGGACAAGCCCGGATGGTGGTGGGTCGTCCACACCTGCAACATGTCTTGAGTGGAAGGGACGCGTCTGGGGCTGGGACCCAATGGGACCCGTCTGAACCGATGGTGTCAGTCGTAGATATTCGTAGATCTTCATGCTTAGCGAATGCCAGGCAACGACATCTACAAGCTGGACCCTCCCGTCAAGGAAGACACGGCACCTCGGTGAAGCATGGCACAGCAGGGCAGGGCACAGCACGGCCGATTCTCGTGTTGAGGTGAAGGAGCTGATGAAGTCCATCGGCTTCGGCTACCCGGGTGGCCCCGACCGTGCCGCCAATCTGGAGCTGTGTCTTGGGCCGCAGTTGTCGGACACTTCGCGAGGTAGCTGTCCAGGATTGGCGACGGATGCGCCTCTTGATGCCTGTGGGAATATGAGGCCAGTGACTTCATACTCCGGCGGCTGGAAGATGAAGATGCAGCTCTGCGCTGCGCAGCTGATGAACGCTGACGTGCCGGGCCTCGACAGTCGAGTTTTTGCTTACTCGGCCCCCTCGCTTGCTGATTCTACTCTTAACCTTCTGTTTTCAACAGCGCGCCCGTGCAGAATGGCCATGAATCATGAATGTCGTTGAGGTGCTCATGTTGGATGAGCCGACTGGACATCTGGACGTCGACAACATCAAGTGCCATGGCCGAGCATAGAGCGCAGTGCCTTGCCGGCGAGTCACCGCACACCAGGTGGCTGGAAGACTGGCTGGAGTCCTTCGATGGCAGCATCATTTGCACTTCCCATTTCAGCCCATTCCTGGACAAGATGTGCACCTCGGTGGTACAGTGAACGTTTAGGCAATCTATGCTCCTGCAAGGGCTTGCGACGCTTGTGCTTGGCCATGCGCCCCCACAAGGCACTCACATCATCGACTTCCAGGACCGGAAGTTGAAGACCTTCAAGGGTGTGAAGGGCCAGACCCTCACCCAGCATCTCGGCCATGCATTGTCGACTGGAGAGGGGGGCGATCAGGTAAGCACAATGAGTCTTCTGTGGTCTCAGGTTCGTCGAGAAGTACCCGGAGAAGAAGTCGTACTTCGAGATCAGGAACGACAACATGCGGTTCGTGTTCCCGGAGCCGGGCGCGCTGGAGGGTGTGAAGAGCCGCAGCAAGGTCATCCTGCGCATGAACAACGTGAGCTTCACGTACCCTACCAAGGACAAGCCCACCATCATGGACGTTAGCTTGAGCCCGGCATGGCATTAGCACTCTCGGGAGTCGGGACTTTTGATATCTTTTGATTGTGTTGCGTGTGAAAGTCTATCTCATGAACTTGCCCTGCTCGCTATTGCCTGCTCTGCCGGGTCACGCTTCTGCTTGCTGAGCACGCTCGGGACACCGAGGACCGTGTCCCAGGTGAGC